CGCCCGCCGGGGACGAGGCAGGTGACGGATGGTAGCTAGTCGGCGGCGAGCTAAGCGAGCTCGGCGTCGCCGACTGGTCCGTCACCGCCAGTATCTCCTCCGTTTCGGTTCCGCGTGCTGTCGGGAGTTCAGACAGGGACTCGACCGACAGCACGGGCCTTGTCCGCGCGTTGCGCGTGAATCTTCTCACCGAGTCGGACGGTGCTTGAGGCGACGCGAAGGAGGTCGCCTGTCTTCGAGCCGAGCGGTGCGTCTCGCCTATCGCTTGCGCGTAGCGTGCCACCGCTTGGTAGTCCACGCCCGGATGCGTCGCGAGATAATTCCGCACCTGCGCGCACGTCGCTGGCAGAAGTCCCTCAACAAAAAGGGACTTCAGGCGCCTGTCCGAAAATACGGTTCCGCAGCGCAACGCCTTGTCCCACAACTGGTTACTGTACACCTCCTCCGTCATATTAGAGCTCTGACGGAAGGAGGTGACATCACCGACCGCTTCGGAAATAACTTCGTCGGTCGCGTACGTGCGCAATAAAAAGTTAATAACTTCCGCGTAGGTTTCGAGCATATCGCGCTGCTCCGCATCGACCGCCATGGTGTTCCCGTGTAGCCTGGACTGGAGCAAGGCGTGAGCCTGCCCAGTCAAATAGAACTGGAAACACCATACGGCCGCGCCTTCGCTGACCCCATTGTGGTCGCAGGCCATCTTGAAGCGCGCGAGGAATCCTAGCACCGCGATTGGATCTTGACCACCGAATGTGTGGGTTTTCAGCTGGACGTCCAACTTCTTCCGATATCGCTTAACTCGCCGCGCGGTACTCGCGTCGTAGCGCGCGCTGCGATTTTCCAGCCTATACGTGCGGTAGTCGACGGCCTTGGTGAACAGGTCGTTCAGCGGCCTGATCACCGGCAACCGTTTCGGATCCCGCCTCGGGGCAGACCGGCGGTCTCTGCCCCTGCGATGGCGGTCTCCTTCTCCGCCGGGGCTACTGTAGCCCTCCAGATCGGAGTCTTCTCGCCGGAACCGACGTCGGTCGCGCGCATTGCGGCCTCTGCGGTCGCTTCTGGGCGATCCGTCCGACTTGGTGTCCTCGTCATCGGAGGGGTATCCACCTCCTCCGGCATCGCGGTATCGCGTGTAGCGTCCGTCGCGGTTATCATCGGAGGGGTAACCGACCCCCCCGGCATCGCGGTATCGCGCGTAGCGTCCGTCGCGGTTCTTGCGCGTCGCCCTGTGGCGACGTCTTGTGTCTTCTTCCTCGGAGGGGTTTCCTGTACCCTCCGAGGTGTAACCTTGAGCGCCGGGTGCGCTTCTTCTGCTCGACCGATACGGCTGTCGCTTTTCTGTCGCGAAGCGCCCCAGGCGGTTTTCTGTCCCGCGGGGGCCAGCCGTATCGGCGAGTACGGGAGGGCCATTTTCTGTGGGCCCTCCTGTAGCACCATAAATTGGTGGGAGGTAAATGGTCTTACCCTCCGGGTGAGGGGCCATTGTACCGATCCCGGGTGCGGCGCCGATCGGTTCAGCGTGCGTTAGCGTAGAATCCGGAGCGGTCGAGTCGCGCTGCTCGCGTGCGTCGACTCCTGCTCCGGCGAAGGTCGTGGCCAGACGATTGGCCACGGCGGAGCTGATGGCTCCCTTTAGAGCCGTACCGGACGGGGATTCTTCATCCACAGTGGTGAGCGCGGTCACCACCTCGCATTGGACTTGAGCGGGTAGAAGTTCGTCCAAAAGCGGTGGTATCGCGCTGCGTACGTGCGCGTCCACGAGCGCGGGCACCGTTCGGTCGAGGCATACGCGCGCTACCTGGGGGAGTTCCGTAGCGAGGAACTCCTCGACCCAGGCCTGGATGCGCGGCTGAATCGCGTCGACCATCCATTGGACGCGATTCTCGGTGCCTGCCGACACGGCCGGCGTAACATCCGATGCGGACGCTCGCGTGCGGCCCGGTCGCGGTGGCGGTCGCAGCAGGGCTTCCGGGTTCTCCACCCGGGGCGCGGTGCGCCACTGCCACTGCGGGTGCTCAGACGCCCGGAGGCGGAGTCTTCCCCTTGATCCGGTCGGTTCATCGTCGAATACGCTTCGCGATCGACGCGGTGATTTCTCAACCTTTTCCGTCCGTAACGTTCTGCGCAGAGCGGGCGTCAAGGCGCGCGGCTCTACCTCGAGAGTTATAGCCCTCCACAAGAGTACCAAAATGTGGTACAACTCTCCTCAAACCCTAGCGGGCGAGAGGCTCGGAGGATGAGCCGAGGGAGCTCGCGACGCGAGACGCGCGGCGCGCAGTTACCGAACGGTCGGACTTGCGAAAAGGGAGTGGCACACTGGCCGGTTACGCGCAGTCGTCCCGAGGTGCTAGATCGGAGACGACCGGTAACGGGTTAGAAGCCAACGCGCGAGAGAATACCGAAACGGCAGTACGTAGGCGCGAAAGGGAGGGGGGCAAGTCTGCCCCCCGTGTTTACTGCGAGGACGGTGTCCGGGTCTTAACCCCTCAGAGGGACGCCCGGGACACCTGTCCAATACAGTACCTGTCACTTACTGTGGACCAGGTACTGTACGCGATTGAAAATCTAGCGCCGTCATTACACTACCGCACGGATCCTGACACTACGCGCTTGCATTACACTGCGCGCGCATTATCCCCACACGGTTCCTTACACTACACGTGTACCCAAGCGTACACCTGTCACTTGCTGCGCCCGTTCGGTAATCATACGTATTACACGTGGGCCACGGTGCCCCGTGCTCGCTGCGCGCGGCCGCTCCTACTGTACACCGACCGCGGATCGGTCGTTGTACCACAACTTGTCCCATTCCCAGGAGGCACAGTCGAGACAGCCAATACATTCTGGGAATCCCAGTGTCTTGTAAGCAGCCTCAATCTCCTGAATCTCATGCTCATCCGGTGACGGCAACCATTCTGCGTCATATGTATCAACTATAGCCTCGCAGAAACGCTTAAGGCATACAGCGTCGTTGGACTCCATTAGCCCGACTATTTCAGTCACAGCGTCTGCAGATATTCCACACGTAAGCTGTCGAAGCGCTGACATGATCTTTTGGTCTGAGGTAGCTCCCAACCTGCCAGTGGCATCTCGGCTTTGAACGAAGTAGTCGTCTGCTTGCAAGACCGCATCTCTAACTTCTTTGTACACGGCTCGTGACATTTTAAAGCGGCGTTCAAATTCCGCATCTGAAAAGAAAGGCACGCCTTGTGTGAATCTACAAAAGTATTTTCGGTCGATTTGAACTGCTATGCGGTGTCGAAGCTCATTTCTGTTTGGAGCTTTTCCGGGCAGGGATCCTCCATGTTTTCGTTCCTGCGATCGTGCGAGAAGTTGATTAGCGATTGCTGCAGACGCCGCGACTGCCTTGGCGATAAAGACTTCCTCCTCACTCCCCGACGACGACATTTGAGTCTAGCTTCAACGCGGAGCTGAAATTGCACTGCGGTAGCGCGATCAGAAATACCGACCTCTCTCTTTGGATTGTTTGACACAACAACACGTGTGAGGTGTACCACACGTGTTGGTACTATTCTGGCGATGCAAGCATCGCGTGTTCCTAAATGAGCAATCACCGGTGGAGCAGAAAACGTTTGGGAATCGCCCCAAAAAATTGAATTTAGGCTGACCAGTAAACGTACAACATGTGGCAGGCGATTTTAGGATTTAGGCTCCGCCGGTGGAGATGCTCTAAGAGCATCACCACCGGTAGAAGCAAATAACCAAATAACCAAAATTTGATGATTTGGTGTCGATTGTCATCCCCACCGGTCCGACCAAATCAGCAAATTTTTGGTTCCGAGGCAAATATCGGAACCAAATATCAAGAATTAAGTTCCTCTTCTCCGTAATTTGGTACCCTAGACAATCCAGTTGTCCAAGGCTCACTGGTCAGACAAAAAGACTTCCCTCCAAAAAACATGACGAAGGGGTTTTGTGGCAAAACAAGCGGCAGTCTCCCGCCATCTCTCCTCTTCAAATGCCACAAGACCAGCACGGATTTTATTGTTTTCCGGTAGGGATGCTCCGCACTGGTCGGTGAAGGCATCTCTGAGAGCATCCCCCCTGTTGGTCATCAAGCGCAAGCTCGGTGATAACAAAATGAGTTCCCCCTTTTCAGGCTCGCTACCCCCCTCTTCCCTGGATCCTCCCATCTATGGGACCCCAACACGTTCAGCTTCGGTTCCGTTAACGTCTTCAGAGTTCGTCACTGCGACTCCTCGTATGAGGGGACACGGGTGAGTACGAGGGTCAGTAAGAGCGTACTACACAGTATTTGGTTCTGACCGGTGGGGCCGTCCTTTTTGAAATATCAAATAACCAAAGAAGCAAATCACCAAATTCCCACCAGCCAATTGAGTTCTAGAAAAAAAGTGCCAAGTGTTCTTGTTTGGTCATTTGATCACCTACCGGTGGTGATGCTCTAAAGAATTACATTTGGGTGGGACATGATAGCGTCTTGCAGTGTTGTACTTGACTACATACCAACACGTTGTCCTTTTGTACAACGTGTTGCTAGCAACAGGTTTAGCACTAAACCAAGGATCGAACACCATTCAGTGGCCAGCTGTCGTCATCGTCCATACATCCGCCTGTCGCCGATACCGCTGGCGTTGTAAAGGTCGCAGGAAGTTGGCGTTTCCTTCCCAACCTACGAACCCTTGTCCGCAGGTCGCTCTTCCTCGGAATAACAAGCAACCAAGCAACACCCACCTGCTCCGCTGCTGTACCGCCGTCCGACATCTTCGCGAGACGGAACATCCAACTGCCTACAGTACTTTAGTTTCGAGTACACCCCGCCCTTGAGACCATTTACACCATACCTCTCGGGCTTGTTGGCACTGCAACTACGACACTGTTAAGTACCAACAAGAACAAGAGGATGCAAGAATGTGACTCTTCCAGCCACGCCGTGCCCAACTACCCTTTACAAACAAAGCAGGAGCAAACTCGAGTACGAAAATTTTACAAGGCACAGTTGGCACTGGGAGTCGTGTGGGATGGACTGCCAGCATCTGTGACAAACCCCTAATCGCAAAACAAGTTCAAACTTCACCGTCCCCCACGGGTCCGTTGTTGGAGCTCTCATCACTATCATGTTCTGCTACGGCGCCCTTGCTATCATCAATGTCGATCGCTTGCTCTTCCGCTGCGTCCCGATGTCGTTCGACCTGGCTCTCCTCATTGTGGGAAGGCCAACACGTGGCCACCAATATCGACGCGATGAGCGGTGGCAACACGAATATCCCAAGCGGGATCACGACGATGAGGGGGCCGATGCTTGGAGTTTGGCTTTGCTCTGGCACAAAGTTCCCGGTCGCGTCGTCGATAATTTTCTGGATCTGTGACATAAGAAAAGCCAAAGACAGTCTTATAACGTTAGTATGGACTTGTGTATCCTTCGCGGGTATGCGCAATGGGCATTGGCAAAAGCGCGTACCTCTCCGCTCCTCCGAAGACCGACAAGCTGACCATCGACTTTTTTGCGGAAATCGGAGTTGACGGCTGTGCTGTAGAGCCAGCCGGCGCTGAACTGATACAAGACATCCTTCGTGCGAAAAAGAGTGAGGCCCCCTTTTGTCATTTGGTTGCAGTGCCGTGCGCGGAAAGACGGATCAACAGAGAAGGGTTAACGTTAGCTCCAAAGCGTCAGTGCTGCAGAAAATAAGGCTTACGGAGAAGAATTGTGAAACAAGAGCAGGTAACTCACTGTATTCGGGATTGTTCCCGAGAAGATATTTGGCGAGAATGTCAAAGGTGACATCGTAATCAACTGAATAACCGTATTTTGCGACCCAGTCGATGCATTCGACACCGTCTGCGCACCGCTTCCAGGGGATCTCTTCATACTTCGAGCGATCGGGATTGACTAGTAGTAGAATTGTCGTACCCCGAGGAGGACCGTGAGAAAACCGCAGAAAGGCCCCAAGTCAACGCAACAAATACCACATAAGGTACACACAAACATTCCGGATTTTGGTTAGTCACACAAGACTGCAACCACACGTCAAGGGCAAAGGTATTTGCAACTTGCGCGAGAAAGACAAAAAGTCACCGAGACGAAACAAACCTGTATCTTCCCAGACGTCTTCCAAGGCTGAATTCTTGAGCACCGAGTAACTTTTCAGCTCTTCGCTCGACAAGCTCCTGACCCTCTTGTCGAGCTCCATGGTACGCTGCTGAAACAAAAAGTTGACCACGGCCACCTCGTAGAACAGGGCGAAGATTGCCCCCAGAGCAACCAACGACGCGGTGAACAGTGTCAAGGCGAGCCCATACTTGGTCGCGATCACGGACGAGCGCATGAGAGGTTCCCTTTCCGATTGCGGTACTGGTGTCGCCGTGGTCGACGATCTCAGGCGCGAAGGCGGGGAGTTGCGCCACCTCCCGCGACGCCTGGCGTTCTTTTTTCGGACGACCTTAGCCCACACCCGTTCGGTTGCCATAGCGTGCTCGCGCTCACCTGCGAGAATGTAGAAGGCGCTGACGACCGAGCGGCCGGGTAGGACGTGGAAGCGCAGGGCGATGTAGAAGCAGGCGAGCAAGAAGATGACAGCGCTGCCGGCGAAGATGCCCCACGTGGACCAGCGGAACGGGCGGACGAGGGTGTAGAGCGGCCCCTTGGACTCGGAGTGCTCGTCTGCGGAGCGGCCGACAATGACCATGTTGTTGTCGACGAAAGGGGCGGACGGGTGGTGATTGCAGTGGCGCTGCTGGGTCTCGAGGAGCAGGCCGGTGATGGCGAAGTGATAGGGCGGCTTCTGTTTGGCCATGACGTCGATAAAGTCGACTAGGGCGTTGAAAGTGCAGTTGGCGATGGGCCCCGCCCATACGCAGAGCGAGTCCTTGGAGGAGGTGAGGTGGTGCAGCTCGAATGCGATGCCTCGCAGCTGCGGGTGGAGGGTTTCAGGCTGTCCGCAGGGGAATGGGGTTTGGAATTGGTCGAGGTTTTCGGCAGTCTGTCGCCCCATCATTGTGGGTGGCAGGATGATGAAGGGGGCTTCCTGGATGAAGAGGTAACAGGTCTGGGTGAGGCAAGGGGCGAAGCGGTCGGGATTTGTGGCGGGTGGGTTGCGCAGCAGAGGCAGGCAGTTGGCGTCGTCGGAGGGGTTGGGGAGCGTGAAGATGGGGGTATGCGCTGTGCAGTCGTGTGAGATCGGGCGTAAGGCGGCGCGGGAGGGCGCGAAGAGAGCGAGGAGGGCCAGGAGGAGGACGGTGTGGACGGAAAGCATCGC